ACGGACATAGCCGAGGAGTTGGTCACGGCTCGTAAGGAGCTCATGCGACAGAAGATCCGCGAGACAGACGAGAAGCTCTTTGCGAGCCAAAAGCAGCTTGACGACCTCCTGAGGAATGCGAGACACCTACAGGTTTTGACACCGGTTACCTCGAGGGCCAGGGAGCAGGTCATCATGGCAGCAGGGCGTATGGCGGCCAAGCTCAAATGGGTGAGGCAGGACATCTGGCGTAACAAATGCTACCGGGAGGTTCTCCTCCAGGATCTGGGCACCGAGGATGAAGAGGCCAAGTTGCTTGCGGACCAGAGATCCCCTCATTTACAGATACCCACCAGGAACACCTCCACTTCGGAGCCAGGAGCCTTGCCCCAGCCGCCTGCCAACACAGTGCAGTCCCCGAGCCAGGCTACGTCGCCACAGTTGCCGTCCGACGAGCCTGGGTCTGTTCATAGGGTCCCGTCGTCCCAAATTGCTCCTAGTGATATTCGCAGACCAAGCATTCCGGTGTCGGTGACATCCTCAGATCTCACTGGCCGTGCCGGTAGACGTTTGTCTACGGAGATGGGTAAAGACCGCGCGAAGTCGTATTCGCCAGGTCCGGCAAACCGGCCCGAACGTGAGCCATCGGTGCTGAGCGCGGGCAGCAAGATAGATGTTGCCAGTCTAGGATCTCATGCCTCCAAATTGACCTCTCCAATCAGCATGGACGACGGCGAGGAGCGTATCCTCCGTGAGGCTGGTTTGTTAGAGGTGAACAGCTCCCCTCGCGGTACTAGGCAGTCCGTCACAGCCCATGAGACAGATGGTGAACACAGGAGAGATAGCGGGGAGTCTCGCCCAGGAGAGCAAATGAGCCGGATCCGTCGCAGCCTTCACCGCACACTCCGTGATTCCCATCACGGGCAACAAGGACATGGTGCTCGGGGTAAAAAGGCGCGGGACTCGATGTCCAGCGAAGTGGTTCCCGAGGACGAGCAAGATACGAAGGAAGGCGAGGGTCTCTCCCGCAAGGCGCCGCAGTTCACTGTCCATGGGAAGAAGGCGTCTATTGTCACTTTTGGATCTGAGTGGCAGAATATGACACCCGAAGAGCGCCTCAGGCTGCGCAAACCTACTCCGTCCGAGGAGCCCCGCGCCTCTGAGCCTGCGATTCTGGGCGGCGGCGATTCGAGTGTCTCGGAACCGGTAAATCCAGGAATCTCCCAGTCATTGCGAAGCGGAAGTACCGCAACAAGAATCAGCGTGCTCGATCCGCTCGAGGGCGAGGGTTCCAATGATGGGAATCCCACTTCGAACCTTCAGGACGAAAAGGCCAAGAGCGATCCGGCCATTGATCTAAGCTCTCATCTTCCGGCCTCAGATGACGCTTCACTGGCAGATTCGTCCCCCGCGGCTTTCCCGGGGTCGTTGGTAGTGCCAAAAGATCAGCAGTCGTCCCCTTCGACATCGGCTGACGAGGCTGTCGTCGATGAAAATACAATCCAAAAACTGCAGTCGAGCCCACCTGAGCAAGCTGTACATGCATAAAGAGCGACCTGAAGACCAATCATCTTTCAATTACGACTTCATACCCAATACATCTCAGTTTTTCGATTCATTTGTTTTTGGCGTCGTCTTGCGGCGTTGAAGGAAGCATTTTTCGCCAAAATATGCTTGACCATTTGCAGCGCTGCCTGGCCAAGCTTTAACATTCTCTCTTGCTCTCTCTCTTTCTCTTTCTCCTTTCTATTCCTTTGAGCCGGCTTCATAGAGTTCAAACAGGCGGTCCTCGCACTATTATTTCCTTTCATATGCTTCGGTTGCAGCCCGGTAGGGCAACAGCGCTGGTTGGTCTGGTCTGTTTGTATGGCTGTTGGTCTACGGATTTTATATGGGAAGGCAGCATTTTGGCAGGTATCTGAAAATTCATAGCATGTCATCTCGATTGCAGTATACCGTTACAGTTACTACTCATCAGATGCAGTAGCGTAGTCGACTGCGGTCGATTCTATCAAACCTACCTCTCTGATCCTCTAGAACTATATAGACAAAAAGAATAGGAAATCTTTTATCTGGTCTATTCTAGTGTTCATGTCATTCACATATCTCCATGCATCCATCACTGATGACCCGTATGCGACGGACCCGCGTGAGGGCATGAGCACGCCTTCACAGCAACCCGTGCTTCTCGGCGTCGTTGACCCCTCGTTGTGATTTCCGTAGGCTGTGTTCGTCTCTGGTCTTCTTCATCCATCTTCTACACTTTAGTCTTTCCCATCTTCATCTCATCTTACTGGACTCTCGTCTCATCTCATCTTTGCATCTGAGTTGCTAGTCAGGTGAGGCTTACGGCAGTCATTCTCTTATCCCTAAGACTGATTCCGCAAGTGAAGAGGAAAGATTGGATAACTGAACACAATAGGAGGAAAAAAAGACAGTAAGTTGTGAAGCTCCTCAGAGTAGATGGTCTAACTTGTACAGATGATCTATCCATGCATAGATCACTCTCATCTGTATCTTCTTGTTTTGTCTGCTTGATCGGTCTTGGCTGGTGAGAGTAAAAGAGGGAAACACAGTAACAAATTTCCTTCATTCATCATTTGAATAAGATAGTTGTCTGTTCCTAGGGTTCATGGCTAATTGGTTACCTACTGTGTAGGTACTTGCTGTTAGCTGGAAGGATGTCTTTAGGTTTTGCACAGTCACGTGAGGAGATGTCCTGCAGCGTGATGGGTCTGGATCGTGCTCGTGCTGGTAGGCACTCTACTAACGCAGTCATAAGGTAAATACTGATTGTTATTAAAGGTGAAGAGGTACAGGGACAGGTACAGGGACAGGTAGAGGTAGGGCTGCACCGTCCGCTGCTTGCGTTGCCTGCTCCCCCTCCGTCGCCGCCGCCGCGGTCTAGTCGTCGACCCGTTCTCGTCCCAGTTGCCAGTGATCCAGATGAGATGCTTTACAGGCGTACGTACGAGAAAAAGACTCAGAGTAAATTCATCGATGAGTCAATCGGCTATGGCCTGTTTGCCACCGGGCGCATCCCTGCCGGGGAGGTCGTTTTCGCGGATAAAGTCGCCTGGCTTGCGGGCGCGGAGGTCCAGCGCTGGAAGAACCCCAAGGCCGCCGACGAGCTCGTTGCTGGGAAGGTTCGCGCGATGGGCGAGGAGTGGCACCGGGGTTTCCTGGGCCTGCCGAATCCGCAGCCCAAGGGTTCATCCGGGGACGCGTATGCGCAGATCTGGAAGAGATACCATATGATTGCTTTGCAGCCGGAGAATGCAAAGGTGTTGGTGCTGGGGCTGAATCTTGCGTTTGTGAACCACTCATGTATTCCAAATGCGTCTCTCTACTATTCATTGCGGTATCCGAGGGATGAGAACGGGGAGGAGGATAAGAGCCTGCCGCCGAGGATCGGGCGGGCGGTGGTGCGTGCGTCCAGGGACATCAAGCCCGGCGAGGAGATCACCGTTGCTTATTTCTACGCCAAGGGAGAGTGTGGAGTACGCCAGTTGATGTCCAGTATGTACTGCAAGTTCTGGTGCGTGTGTCCGTTCTGCCGGGAGCCCGTTCGCGAGACAGAGAATGCTCTGGAGAAGCTCTACACTCTCGAGACTATCTTCGAAGACGCAGACACCCTGTATAAACGGCCGGCGGTGGTGTTCAAGAACGCCTACGAGCTGATCAAGCTGTACGAGCGGCTCAAGATCAGCGACACGCGCGAGGTCCAGGTCTGGCTCTACTGCGCAATGATTGCGGGGTTCAACTGCGATCTCGGCCGGGCTATGCTCTTCTTGATCAAGGCACGGGGCTTGGTTCTAAGTCTCCATGGTCCCAACGGTCATCTGTACGACAGAATCAGGGTCTACTGCCAGACGCCTCCTCTCATGCCGGGCTTCGGAGCTACCACCCGCGGTCGATCCGCCGTGAAACAATGCTATTTCATGTTTGCAGACCAAAAGCACTCTGCAGATGTCTTGTTCATGCTCACAGCAAAGCCAGACGAGTACATCCGACTGCACCGCTACCKTCGTATTCCAGACAGCCTGGCAAAGCCGGGAGAGAGCAGATACCTCGTCCGCTACGACGCGCAGGATGCGAGACGTAAAAAATTCGAGGACGAGGAGCCAGACCCTGTTGAGTTCATACCATGGTGGTATGATCCCGAGGTGAGGAAACAGATAATCGAGGAGAAAAAGGCAAAGGAGGCGGAGAGAAAGGAGGAAGAGAGCAAGAAGGCAGCCAGGAAGAAGAAGAAGAAGGAACAACCGATTGAGGAGTCTACGAATACGAATCCAGAGTGTATCGAGCCAGAAAAGGATCTCCTGGATGTCTGCCGCGAATTGGCGCGCGAATTCGAGGCTCACACCAAGGAGAAGCCAGAGCGGCAGCAGCGCGAATTCAGAGAGCAAGACAGGGAAGCTCTGCGACACCTACTAGGCGCAAAAAATGAACCGAAGAAGCGAGCTGACGAGGACGACGAAGTGGATAACAAACAGGAGCATGACACGGGGCGGACCATGGACCCAGGTGCCTCCTTATGAGCACGAGCCAGTGCCGTCACAACCCGCTGTGCGAGAGGTGGCAGCAAGAAAGAGAGTGGTGCTCGAGACGCCTCCTGTTCTGCCGGAGATAGAGAATCTTGCTCCTAATGAGTTTTGGTGACTTCGTTTCCCTCACATGTTGGAGTATCGAGCAATTCTTGACTGAAATTGGTGGTGGAAAGCTGGAATGGAGATGAAGGTGGAGTGACGGCGAGAATAAGGTGGACGACGGATCAATGATTATGTCATATCACGCTTTATCTATCTTCATCTCCAGAGCTTCATTTCTTAAGTTCCCCAACTTCTCCCCTCAACCTTTAAATGCGTTTCGTCTTTCAATCCAGCCAGATGCCGTTCTCCTTGTCTGTGTATAGCTAAACAACTTTCGAAATACATACATCTACCTCTGGTTCAACTTCGAGCGCCGCCTGTAACACCACCTCGAGATAAATGCGCCGATAAACACCACCACAACCCAAAATGGCGCACTCCAAACGAAACACCTCTCTCCCCCATTTCACCTCCTACGAACGGGGCCTCCTCCGCTCAACCTGGGGTACCAAGCGCGGCGTCATCAGCCGCGACTCCTTCCTCCCCTTTGGTTCCTGTCGACTCTGCCTGCAGCCAGCCAGAACACCCGTCGCCTGCGCAACGAACGGCGACCTTTTCTGTCGTGAATGCGCCATCAACGATCTCCTCGCCCAACGGCAGGAAATTAAACGACTCGAGCGAGAACGCGAGGAGGCCCGGAAGCGCCTGGCCGAGGACGAAGAGCGAGCGCTCGAGGATGCGCGGCGGAGGGAACTGCGCGAGTTTGAGCTCGTGAGTATGGGTCTGGAGGCGGCGAAGAATGATCATGCGAAGGGGACCGCCGGCGGCGGCGGCGATAATCAACGGAAGCGCAAGGCGGACGAGGCGGAGGAGGCATTGGCGGCGTTCAAGGCGCGCGAGATTGTGGTCGAGGGGAAGCGGAAGAAGATCTTTGAGCTGGACGAGAAGGAGATGGCTCGGATTGCGCGGGAGGAACAGGAGCGGCTGAAGCGGGAGCTGAAGCGGGAGAAGGTGCCTTTTGCAGTGTCGTTTCTTTGGTGTACATTTGGCTAACTGGTGCAGTCGGAGTCAAGCAAATCCGCGCTCCCCTCGTTCTGGGTCCCGTCGCTCACGCCATCGACCGATCCCAATGAAATCGCCGCTAACAAGGCCGTCAAGTTGACGCCCATCTGTCCCGGATCGACAGACGAGAACCGCCATGCCTATTCGCTCAAATCGCTGGTCGATGTGCATTTTACCGAGGAGAAGGCGGCGGACGGCACCGTCTCGCGGATCTGTCCCAGCTGTAAGAAGAACCTCAGTAACGGGCTCAAGGCGATGTGTATGTATTGTCCTACTACAAGCGCTCGCGCTCAGTTCCGCTAACAGATTAGTGGCGAAACCCTGTGGTCATGTCATCTGCCAACCGTGCGTCAACAAGTTCATGACGCCGCACGATGTCCCCGATCCCCATTCCAGCAAGGAGGAACAGGAGCGGACGGCGAAGCTGCACGGTCTGATTCTCTGCTACGTCTGTGAGGCGGACATTACGCCGCGGGATCCCAAGGCCGAAGCTGAAGAGAATGGAACCGAAAAGGGGAATGGGAAGAAGTCGAAGAAAAAGGACAAGGAGCAGGGCATCCGGCCGGGGTTGGTGCAGATTAGCTCGGAGGGGACCGGGTTTGCAGGGGCGGGAGGAAATGTGGCGATGAAGGCCGGGGTTGCTTTTCAATGTTAAGACTTGGCGCATCCGGAGTTTGGGACTTGGGTATTTGTACTTGTGAAAAAATGTATTCCAGTATCAGTTGACTAGACTAGATGATCTATGAGATGACACGCCCAACAACGCCAGACAAACGAGAACGAATATAGCTACACCCGAAAGAACATGGAGTAATTGTATACATGAACACCCGGTCCGGCAGTCTAGGCCGCTCTCTTATTGGCGTTGTTGAATTCGCGCACAACGATATCGCACCTGATCTCCTGGCAGAGACGCTTACGACGGCTAACATCCAGCTTGGAAGCAAACTCCAACCCACTAGCCCGCTCCAACACCTCCAGCGGCACCTCGAACTCAGCCAGACGCTTGTCGTTGGGGATGCGGGCATTGGGAAGCACGAACGCACCCAGCGAGACCTTGCTGGTCGGGCTGGCCGTCCCGTCCTCGGCGTAGATGACCTTGTAGAAGTGCGTCGGCACAGCCACGTTGGGCGGGTTTCCAATGACTTCGTACGAGACGCGCCACTTGCCGTCCGGGTCGCGATGGGGCAGGTACAAGGGGCCCGTGACGATGCGGACGGAGGGGTACTTCTTGGTCAGATCGCGGCAGAACTCCTCAAAGTGCGCCCAGTAGTCGCGGTTGAAGCCCTCGCCGACCTGCGGACACATGTTGGTGAGCGCAAAGGTGCCGTCCATCGCGTTCTGGGACCATTTGGCGTCGGCGGCAGGCACCTGGTGGCCGCGGTCATAGCCGGAGCGGAAGTAGTCGGCCAGTTTGGCGCGGAAGATGGCGGGGATGCTGGCGTCTTCGACGAAGGCGCTGTGTTTCCGGTCGGCATTCTTCAGGGAGAGCGAGTACGGTGTAATGTGCTCGGCGACCCAGGCGGGATTGCGTGTGCGACGGTCATAGGCGCCAGTCAAGGGCAGAGAAGTGATGGTATCGGCGATGGGGCCGGGGAAGCCATACTGGTAGATACCAGCAGGATCGACGGGGGAGCCACCCGAGGGTTTGCTGACAGGAGTCTTGGCCAGAGAGGGAGGAGGAATAGTCGCAGGAGGAGAGATCGTAGCCGGTTGGGACGGAGGAGGGGGAGGAGGGAGCTGTTGTTGTTGCGGCTGTTGAGGTCGAGAGGAAGATGAGTAAAGAAGAGCGGTGATACCAGCACCAGTAGCTGCACTGGCGGCAGCGATGGCCGCAATAGTAGCTTTCGACATGATGGATTTGAATTAAAGGAAGATATAAACAGATAAAAGACCCGTTGGACCGAGTCAAGGAGGAGAATGAAGTCGACAGTCGGGGCGGAGTTAAGAGAGAGAAAAAGAAAATATTGCCGAAGAAAGCAAAGATGAAGCCAAAGTATCAGCCAATCAGAGAGCACAGATATGCTGGATCAACAACAACAACAGCAGTAGGGATGGGTAGGGAGGAGAGATATCTAAGAGGGAGATATTGCAGGCAGCTACCTTGGCTATATAGGAAGAAAATCAGTATGGATTCTGTAAAAGAGCATATGGTCATCTGCTTGACTGTTCTGCTGACATCTCTGAGTATTTAGTAGGGGAGATATAAGAACCCTGCACATCGAGACGGTGGCTGTCCAGACCAAACAATAAGCCGGCCTATTGACAGATCGCTGCATAAATTTAGACTGATATCAGACATCTTGCCAGCTCCATCGTGAGACTTAATATCCCATCAGTTTCATGATGGTAATCCAAGCGCCCTTCGGCCTGCTAATATGGCGGTGACAGTGCGGACCTTGGGAGCAAGTCGGCGGCGGTATTTATATTATGGCAGTGTCACCTGCACTCGAAGGAATGCATTATCGTTCCAAGGGAAGATGATCAGCGCAAGATGCATTTATCTGATTTATCCTGTTGACAACACCATCTGAATATCTGTACGGCTGAGGCGAGGCAAAAGAGAGAAAGAAAGTGGTTCCTGCCATTGTCATTAATTGTCACACATCTCGGATATTCTAGTGACATCACTATCTTCCATCCGCCTTCTGCCATTCCCATACAAGAACTCTGCTACTAACTACTATTGCTGCTGCTCTCTCACCACCCCTCGGCCCCATCATGGCTGCCAATAATGATCTCCGAGGATGGCTGATGAGCGGGGTTTCTGGCATAGGTGAGTTTCCAAAAATCAACTGCGATTATTCCAATCTGATTCATCAAAGCCTGCGTTCTTGGTTCGTCCCTCATCTGCATCGATGTTCTGCTGCGGCGATTCTCTCGCCGCAAGAACTTCCAAATTGTCAACAGCAGTGGCTTCTTATCAGCCTCTCTATGCCTGAGTGCCGGTGTTATGGTACCTTTACTCTATTGCCCCATTTATGCCTGCAGTACTAAATCCTATAGCTCTTCACCTCCCTCTATAGCATGCTCCCCACCTCGAAGGAATACCTCACTCGAGCTGGATTCTCAACCCGCGTGGCGGCCTACACTCTAATCGGACTCTTCGTGGCTGGCGTGATTGTCATTCGACTTGTTTCTGCGTTCATCCACCAGCATATTCCTTCTCATGTCGTCGATTGCGCCCATACTCACCAGCCAAACCAAGATCCCGAACGCGGCGATGTGGGACGGCAAGAGCAGCCGGCGTCCGCTCTGCGCCAGGCAAATGGCTATACTGAACGGACGCCTCTCCTGTTACAGACAAAGATGCCTTCTCGCAAGTCCATGCCGGGTGCCGTTGAGCGACCGACGCTCGAACCTCTGCGCTCCCGTTTGACTCGCCGCATCAACCAGCTCATGGGCGGCGTCAAACCCCTCTGTGACGAAAACGGCCCGTGCTATGGTTTCTCGCAGACTTGCGGGCTTGAATGTACCAAGATCCTCACTACTACGCAGATGACTAGCGTCGTCGAGGAGATTCCTCGGCCTCCCTTAACCACGCATCATAGCATTGGTGTCCAGCTGGACTCGGAAGGCGCAGGACCGGAAGTAGGTGCTGGCCCAGGGTTGCTCGCCCAGTCGCATGATTCGGTGGAAAACTTCTCGGGACCATTTGAAGCAGGTAACTCCCAGGAAAATGAAAGCAGCGCATCCTCCTTGCGGGCAGATGTTCAAGCCTATCCCCAAAAATCCCCAGAGGACCAAGACGATTTGACCAAAGCTCCACGGACCGCATCGTCGCAACACCACCACCACGTACCCCAGAATGCCTTCCTATCTATCGGACTCCAGACGTCGTTGGCTATTGCCCTCCACAAGCTCCCAGAGGGCTTCATCACATACGCTACTAATCACGCCAGCCCCACGCTCGGCATGACCGTCTTTGTTGCCCTCTTCATTCACAACATCAGCGAAGGCTTCGCCATGGCCCTGCCGCTCTACCTCGCGCTCAATTCCCGCTGGAAAGCCATGTTCTGGTCCAGCTTACTTGGAGGAATCAGCCAACCCGCCGGCGCCGGCATCGCCGCTCTTTGGATCTGGGGCGCGCAGAAAGCCGGCCACAACGACGAGACGACCGGCCCCTCCTGGGGTGTATATGGGGGCATGTTCGCTGCCACCGCCGGCATCATGACCTCGGTTGGCCTGCAGCTTTTCAGCGAAGGGCTTGGACTGACGCACAATCGTGGGGTTGGGGTCGGATTCGCGATCGCTGGGATGGGGATAATGGGGCTGAGTTTTGCGCTGACTGCGTGAGTATACTCTCGGGTTTACTAAGGCGTTGAGGTTCAATCTCTTTTTCTTCCAAGTAAATGTCTCTGTGCATTGTGCATGATTGCATCGGGCAGGCTGCATCAGTATAAATTGGGGTATATGAAAATAGGGTGGGTATTGTTATTCATGTTGCGTTCCTTGACGACTGTCTATCTGCGTTACGAGTTACGACTGTTTTGTTTTGATCACTGGTTAGTATGTCAGGTAGTATAGAGCATGCCTAAATACATAGTCTAATCATGTGCATTTCTCCTGTGAACCTCTCCGCCAAATATATATATATATATATATATATATTCGTCCATTAAGGGTGTTTTCAGAGGCTTTGGATGGTATTCCGATAGATTTAGTGGTTATTTGTTCCAGGCTTCAAGGTATTCTACATATGAAATTAAATTATATCCAACGCCATAACATGCACAGCTAACTCCAAGGACCTCATCAAGGCGGATGCAAAGGAATAAACAAGCGAGCTTACGACCCCTTCTTGGCCGCCTCTTCTCGCTCCCTCTTTCTCGCTAGATACCGCTCCCTCGCGCTCGACACATCCGTTTCCGTCTTGCGAGTACGAATGCGCTCCGCGATCTCCCGCTGTCGCGCGGCCTCGGCTTCCGCCTCCTGCTGTGCCTTCTTCTCCAGCTGCTGCGCAATCATCTCCGTCTGGCGGGCGCGCTGGCCTGCACGCGCCGCTTGGTGCCCCGAGTCGAAACGAGGCTTGTTGGCAGCCGCACGAGCCGCAGCCGCAGCGGCGCTCGCCGAGGCGGACGGCTTGGGCTTCGGGGCGACGTTCAGCCCGGCGGACAGCAGCTGCCGCTTGTCGACGATCTGGCCCTCGTCGTTGATGGCGATGTGGGCGCCCTTGGCATTGAGCTCCGCCGCGATCTGAGCCTCGGTCTTTTCCTTGTTTGCTTCCGCTTCGGCGGTCGCTTCTTCGGCTGGGATCTCGCCCGCCTGCACCCGTCGCGCGGCCTCCTCCGCCGCCTTGACGACCTCCTCGTGCCGCTGCTCGTCCCGCGATAGCATGTCCCGATAGAACCCCACCATGCCCGTCCCGCCGTTCTGCTTCCGCCGCTCCTCCTCCTGCCGCTCCCGCTCCGCTTCTTCCTGCTCGATGCGCCGTAGCTCCTCCTGCTGCGCCTTGTACGCGGAGGTCACGAACTTCTCCTTTTCGGCGAACTCGTCACCCTCCGCTTCGCGCTCCTTGGCGAGTAGCCTGTCCCGCGCGCGCAGCTGGTCCCGCTTGCGGATCTCCGCGCTGCGCAGCAGCGAGGTCATGTATCGCGGCCCCTCGCTCTTGGCGTCCGACGCAGTGGCTTTGGCTTTGTCGGATTTGGCGTGCAGGCTGTCGTAGATGGCGTCGTAGGAGTAGATGGTGGGGTCGAGCTGTTGGGCGTCCTCGGCGTGTTTCTTGCTGCTGCGGATGGCCGAGAGGTTCGTGTATTCGGTGCTTGGTGGGGCGCTGGGTTTGTTTTTCGCGGGGTTGAGGCCCAGGGGCATCGCTTGTGGTTCTTGCTCCTCTTCCTCGTCGGCGAAGATGGAGCTCTTGCTTAGGGGCTTGAGGTTGGGTTTGCCGGCTGTGGGGGCTACCGGCGGTCTTCGTTTTGCGGGTGGCTCTGTGCTTTGTCGGTCGTTGGGGGACGGTCTGGGTTGTTCTTCGAGCCCGCCGATTGTGGTTATCTCGATGGGGCCGTCGCCGTCGCCGTTGCCGGCATCGTTCTGGTTGTCGCCTTCCGAGTCGGAGTCGAAGATGGTCTTCTTGCGTTTTTGTGAACCTGGTGGTCCGAGTTTCGAGGTTGGGGGTTTCTTGCTGGGGAGGTTGAGCCCGTAGGACAGTTTTGGAGGGGCCATGGTGCTACTAGACGGAGGCTGTAAGGCCTGTCCCCAATTCGCGCAGTAGGATATGAGAAACCTATAGAGAGGTATTTATGTCTCCGTAGTTGAAGGTGATGAGTTCATGAGATGGTTATCTTATCAACCACGTGACTCAATCATCTCCGCCAAACAACTGACCCATGTCCCCTGTTATTTACCTACACTTGCGGACCGAAGGACTATTTCCCTTTTGAAAGTGACTACCTCTGTCAAATAAAATGTCATACTACTTCACCATCCTCTCCCCCACCGACGTCCCCTTATTCAACATCGCCTTCGGCACCTCCAAAGGCGGCGGAGATGGCATCGCAAGGTTCCGCTTCCCCGACACAGCGCAATACATGAACCAATTCATCATCCACTCGAGTCTGGACATCGTCGAGGAAGCCCAATGGATGAATGGCAATATGTAACTGCCCACCACTTTCCAATATTAATGACATTATAACTGGATGCTCAATGTTAAATGGTATAGGTACCTCAAACACATCGACACCTACCCCCCCGCCTCGGCATATATCTCCGCGTTCCTCACGCCCTCGGGAACAAGATTCCTGCTCCTCCACCAGCCGCCTCAGCTGCCTTCGACGGGGACTGCGGGGTCCGGCTCGTCGCTGCTCGGCTCGTCCTTCTCCGTTGGTGGGGGCAGCTCGACCCGTGCGTCGAGTAGCTCGATTGCGGCGAATCCGACCTCGCCGCAGACGGAGGAGGCGGTGCGGCAGTTCATGAATGAGGTGTATGAGAATTACGTCAAAACGGCCATGAGTCCGTTTTATCGGCAGGGGATGGAGATTGGGAGTCCGGTGTTTCGGGCCAGGGTTGTGGCTGCGGGGAAGAAGTGGCTGTGATTCTTTGCCTGCCCTTCTACGGCTATATGCATTTTACCTTGCTGAGCGTGGCGTTGGGGTGTGGCTTACTTTACTACTATGGACTTGCATTTGAAAGATGCATCAAAAGAGTGCATGGGTTCAACTCGTGTATTTATTTGATGCCCATTAATCTCTGCGCCGTGTACCAATGCAGAGTATCCGATATTGTTGCTCTGTTCTCACAATCTTGCTTGCATCGACCAAGGGGAATTCGGCATGCAATAATAAGCTCGCTAATGTTCAAAAGACGGAGCATGTCCTGCAAGATGAGCGGACGAAAGTAGGTCTCCCAAATGTTATGGTAAGGGGAGACTGAAAACCAAGAAAAGAAATGCCGCTGTCGCTGTTTCCAAGACCAACAGAACGCCTCCCTAAGATTACCTCCGACCCACTTCATGCCGTCATTTGAGGGGCCAGCTTCTTCACAGTGCTGTTTTTGAAATTCTCCACCGCATGGATCACGTCGTCCGCTTTGGCGACGGCGCCAAAAATACCGCCTTCCATCTTAACGGATTCGAGCGTGCTCACATGGAGGGACGGCTCGCCGGCGGCAGTGCAGTCTTCCAGGATGACGCAGTCGAAGCCTTTGTCATTCGCCTCCCGCATCGTCGTCGACACACAGACATCCGTGGTGACACCTGCAATGACCAGATTTTTGACGCCTTTGTTTCGAAGAAGAAGCTCAAAATCGGTATAAGAAAATGCACTTTTACCCGGCTTGTCGATGACCGGCTCCTCAGGCAGCGGATACAGTTCGTCGACGATGTCGTGTCCGACTTCACCACGTATCAACAGACGTCCCAACGGCCCTTGGGAGCCAATTCCCATGCCAGATGCATTGTTCCGCGACCGAAACGCCTCCCTATTTGAGAGAGTTGATAGATCAGGCCGATGACCTTTACAACAGCGTCAATCAGAAGTCCACCACCAAGACTAGGGTATCAGGGCTGTACCTTCACGGGTGTGGTAAACAGGAAATCCAGCAGTACGGAATGTATTCAGTACCTGCTGCAGTTTGGGGATGAGACTCTGCGCTGCTGAAATGTCGTAACCTTGGTATTCCATGTAACCGCCAGGCGAACAAACTGCGATGACCGTCAGTGGTGATGAGCATTCGGATGCAGCGCGAACAATATGGCCGTGCGGAATACATACAGTCCTTCTGCATGTCGATGATGACTAAAGCAGTCGTATATGGTGTTAGAGTCGCATCATGCGGCCAATCATAGGGAACCGCTGGAATCTGGCCCTTTCGAACCTTATGCTGCGGTACTGGTCGCGGTTTCTCGACAACAGGTCCATGATTGTGAGTTGGATTTAACACTGTCAATGTCCAGATGCCAGGAGTACCAGCTGCGACCAGCATAAACGGACAGTCCATCAAACGAGATGTTCGTCGCCGCTTTCTCGTCTCCTCTGTGAGCCCGTTTCGGGGCCGATAATGGCCTCCCCGATCGCACCGGAGCCACACTTTGGCTGTACGTCCGGGCTTCTTCTCGGTAGGAGTACTGGATGACTTGACCACAACATTGTATCCATGTGCTTTGCTGTGAGCTTGCACTGCGGCAAGAAGAGTAGCTCTTTACATGTAGGGAAGGATATAAGTAGCGGTCCAAGCAATGTATCTAGAATTGGGTGACAAGAGGGTGGCTAGCATAATTCACGCATACTTACTTATCGGGATACGTTCCTTCTGGAGGAGGCACAAGCTGCATTGACATATCTGGGATATCTTGAAGATCGCTAGGCGCGTCGAGATTCAGGTCGGTGGGGTCCGCCATCTCAACAAGTCGTGTGGATCTTCACGGAAAAGGGAAGATCTGGACGCCATATTAGCATCATAGGTCCATGGTGACCCCTCACCAAGCTCTGTTTGAGAGAGGGAAAACAGAATGAAAGATCAATGGCCATTTCAGATCGACCGGATGGGTAGATGTTTATCGATTTCCATGTGCGTGGAAGCAACTCTCCAGTCTACTGTGAGTAGTATGATGTGCGTGGATATAACACGATCTACCACCCTAGCTTGGAGACTAGGCCGAAGGTGAAGGAGTAAGGAGGGAAGAAGTACCCGTAAGAGTCCGATAGGAGGGAAAACAAGCAGGGAGAGGGAAAGCAAGTGGACAATAGCAACTTACCGGGTCCAAATCAGGGAATATAACTGGAAAGTGGGAATCAAGCAATAATAACCTCCAGATCATTTACTTGTTGCCCCAGACTTCCACTGCCCATAAGGCATGC